GGGGGGGGCTTGCCTCTCTGTTTATCCCTACGATTTATGTACTGCGTTTATGTTTGAAATTTTCTTGAAAATAATTTACTTGCCGCAGTTTTAGTGGCAACATGTGGGATCTGCAGCAAAAACATACAACCGTTTGACCCCCAAAAGCAGAACATCTGTGTGCGGGAGGGAAAGCAACAATTTACTGGCTGCCCCTTTTCCCGGTTGTTTTGTATACGGGAGGTACAAAAGAACAGCGGGACTAGGCTAGGTCTACATGCGCAGAAGACAAGTATTCGTCGAGAGACGCTCTGCAATAGACTTCTACCGCAAAGTGCACAGTGCACAGCACGTTGAATATACATTTTCGCAAGATGAGAAAGTCACGATCACCACCACGACTAATCCTGGCGTAAGGGTAATTTTTGCAGGTCAGAATTCGGGAATTGGGGAATAACGTGAAAGTACAAAGGTTTTTGAAGGTCTTGAAAACGTTGACAAACACTCTAACTCATGGCCATCTTATATTACTAGCAGTAGATCGTGAGGTAAAACTAAAGTATAACCGCTCCCACCCCTCCCCTTGTCTTCTCCCCTCACAAAGATCACAATGAACTGCTTCCCGTTGGCATAAAGCATAGCTGCAAACTTCTGTTACCCTTGTATGACCTCGTACATTACGCCCCCAAACAGTTGAAAATGGAGGGCTATAATTTTCTTTTACCTAGTACCAGAAAATGCAGTGACTTTGGCCCTGCCTACATATAGGATACTATTAAGTAGATATACTTTTTTAAGACATTGGGTCAAAACTGAAACATATGTAGGTAAACAAAGAGCCTATGCGTCGCCCCCCCCCCCCCCCCCCTCCCTTTTCCTCCCGCCTCCATAGGAGAACGGTCAAGTGTGCCCGTGCATTGAGACAGCTCTGCTCGATTGAAACCCTGAAACTGTCGCGGGTTGACCAAAGTCCTTAACAGCTGCACAACATCGGTTGCAGTTAGGTAAGTTTGTCCACAGAGTTATGTCATTTGCTTGTTTGTTTATTTTTTCTCCAGCGTGGCATCGGGCATACAAGCTGAGGCTGTGAACAGGGCAGAAGTGCAGGGATTGGTTCAATTCTTCAGCACCACCGTCGGAAGCCCGTTCTCTATACCAGAAGAAAAGTAAGAAACCCATACGATAATACACCACGAACACTAAGAGTACTAAGAGGTTCATGTTGCATTATGACGAGCTTGGCCTCTACACTCAAGTAAACGTTAGTTGGGTCATTTGTGACGTGAATACTTATACGCACGCACATACACAAACAAACACACACACACACACACACACACACACACACACACACACACACACACACACACACACGTTAAATGTGCTCATTAGTACTTTGTTTATGGGCATTTGGTTTCGCGTAGAATACCAACCCTTTTTGAGAATAGACTGCATAGGTTAGATTCTGGACCAAAAAATCAAAAAAATCTGTCACTGAGGAGCACAGACCGCGAAATAGCCACAGTTTGGAACGGCCTTTTTGGAATGAACAAAACCCTACTTGTGAGAATCAAAGGGTGGTTTCTTTGAGATGACTGCATCGTGCACGAGCTGGAACGACACGTCGTGTCTCTCTTTCCATCCTTGCGTCATTCAAGTAGGCATCTGTATGTATGACAAAGCATCTTCTCTTATGGCCAACGCCTTTAGATAATTCTTTGAAAAACAAATCATACCAACGACATCGGTAAATAGCCGCTGTATGAATCCTACAGATAATGTGGAGCCCCATGAAACAACAGCTGAAGAAACGTGACTTTGTTCCCAGTTCAGACGTTTGATTTGCAATTCTCTGTACTATTAGAATGAAATGACAGATAATCAAGTCCAAAATTTAACGCAGTTCATGCCCAAAGGGTTCTTGCTCTGCACAAAACCAATGTCTTCCTAACAAAATACTAATGAGCACATGCAATATTGAGTCCAAGTTTTGCGTGGTATTTGAAGCTGTTCTGTTTTCCTATCTGTGTGTACGGTACTTAAATATTGTTTATTGTCTATAAAACATTCTTCATTCATTTATATGCAACACATTATATCCCTTCCACTAACGTTAGTGGTCCCCAATACACTGGCAAACTCACTTTTAAGTTTATTTGATTTCATACAAATTTTATAATGAGTCAGATAATGCAGAATTTATTGCATGCTTGGGAGAGTTGTACAAAGTGCAATTTTTTAAACACGAAGGTAGGGTGACCGTATCCATAGAGCTCTTGTAGTCGATCAGTAGTTTCATTGAACCTTTTAAGAAACATTAGTGGTAGAAAAGCCAAGACAGGGGCAGTTGATTGTTTGATAAAGTGATAAATAATTCCTACGCTTTGCGTAGTGCACGATGGTCTTGGTCGATGAGACAATTTCAAAAACATGCAAGGAAACCAGTTATTATGTAAAACATTCGGGAGCGGTGCACAGCCCAGTTTGTAGTGAAGCACATCCAGGATCAAAGTACTGTGACGTGTCCCGTCGGTTTCTTTTGTTTTTGCAAAAGTTACGCCGACAGCTAAAGAATAAGTCCACTCCCCCATCCCCGGAAAAAGCATGGACAACAAGGAGCCCTCCGAGACCTCTTTTTCACACCCTTGTAAACGTCAGGTTCATCCTTGAACCCAAAACCCCTGTCCTTGACTCTCCTGGGAACAAGACTAGCCATGGCCGTATTAGATATACTGTTCTTTAATTAGCCGATTACTAAACTAAAACATAATATAACTCGTGGGCGGGAACAGAGACCGTAATTATTTAGGGGGCACCCGGCGGATTAATAGGGACGTGACAGGCGTTATCTTTCTAATAGGCTTACATGTCACAGTTGTAATGATCACGATTGCCACCTCTCATCACGATAATAAACTCCTCGGGTATTTTATATATCTATGTCAGTTTAAATAGAAGCATTTAAAAAACTACAAAACGCCAAAGCAAGCCCAACCCAAAACGATACAATGAACGCAATTATCATTACACTTGGCTGTCAATGTATCTAACGGTGCCGCCCCCATAAAAAAAAACCGTAATAAGAGGAGATAATTAAAAAATTAGTAAATACTACTCGGTAACCTCCCCTGTTACCGGTTTTTTTTCTAATGCATCAAAACCCTCTGATGCATCATGGTTAAAACGTTCTAAATCTTGGGTCCGGAGATGGTACATGTATACCCACACAAGCGCGCACGCGCGCACGCGCGCACACACACACACACACACACACACACACACACACACACACACACACACGCTTGAGTCCGCCGAGCTCGGCAACTTCGTTTTTATTCTTGGACGATAATCTGTCAATTTTGGATGCATGAGCAGACAGAAACATCTTCACCGAAAAGAGCAGTCAGGGTAAAATAAAATAAAAAATGGGTGTATATTGACTTTGGCCGATAACATGAGTTTGTGATCTTGTAATCGCTTTAAAATAAATTTGTTGGAGTAAAAGGGATTCAAGTTCTAAATATTTGCCAAGCTCAGGTTCCAAAGTTTGAAGCACTGGATTGGATTGTTGGTTGTTGGTTGTTTGTTGTTTTTTTAATAGAAAATTTGAGCAAAACGATTTTTTTTAAAAAGGAGGGGGGGGGGGATCATACGCATACAGTTATGAATGTCTCTAATAAATTAACAAGTGGGGTTAGTTGACATGCATAAGGAATGGAATGCAACTGTAAATACATAGAGACGAATGCATTTTGGCAAATTAACAGCAATCGTGTAAACATCCGATATAAATCTAAGTCAAACAAAGGGAAAATGGTCATGTCAGATTAAAGTTGCACCAGGGCCATGTTATTTGCTATTAAAATTTTTGTTTTGAGGTTGGGTTTTGTGTTAATTATTTGCCCTAGTTAATTTGGTACTTTTCTGTTTTACTTCAGAAACAATATGTATGCATGTCCAGCCAACTACTCAGTTCTGACAAAGTTGGTAACTCCGGAGAACGTGGAATGCTGGGTTCTACCCCCTCCGTATCAGGACCAGGTCACTTATGCAACCTGCAGGTAATTTATTTAGATTTTTTGTTATTTTTTAAGTTACCACTTATTCAGACACCATTAAGTAATTTCCTCTGTTTTCTCCACTTTCCGTTTCTACTGAGCCAGTCCTCCCAAAGAAAAAAATGGATTATATTCTTTTTTAAGCCCCCCCCCCCCCCCTCCCAATTGATGTAGAACAAAAGAACTCCAAATAATATATAAAAAACGGCGGCTTCAACCATCACATAAGTATCCAAACATCTGTTTAGGACTAAATCAGCTCGTGCCACATAGTCTCTCTGGGTGAGATAAAACTGGATAAAGTGGTTTTATGATCTAAAAAAAAAAGACCCACTAATTTTCTCTGTCTCCGTCAGGTGTTCCAACTGCCAGGAGGGCATCATGTCTCGTTTCTCGGGACCCAACGCTTGCAAGCCTCAGCTGACCCAGATGAATCTAGTTGTATTCTGTCCACTCCGCCAGCCGGCCAGAATAATTCCTTTGCGTGCGCAGATCCCAACGTCTTGTCGCTGCCACAGACCACTGACCAATAACAACAACAGCGAATTTGGCCTAAAGTAAAGTCCAGATCCCCGGTCTCAAGATGTATAGATATACAAACATGCTTCCAATCTGGCCTGAAGGAGAAGGAGAAAGTATAGACATTTATTATGTATGTTGTGTACTTTGTGCTATACATTTAGGACCCAGAGGCCAATGCCATGCAAATCCCCAATACTAACTACTCACAGCAGAAAAAGATATTTTTTTAAACAGTGGTATCTCCGGTACAGATATGGACAAATTATAGCCAGCAAGCGGTTTCAGTCTATTCCGTGAGTCAACCCAGTTAATAATTAATGTAGCTTGTGGTTAGTTGATATTTCATTTATAAAAAATTAATTTAAAAAATACAGATAAAATAAAATAAACGTCAACAATTTAATTTCATGAAGGTAAATCAAGCGATTTCCCTTCCTTTCCCCCAAGAAACTCTTTTTAATACACACAAAAAGACTCATAGTCATACAACCCAACAAACAAATAATTATATCGTTCTGGAGAAGACTGTGAGAAAAGCTACGATGTAAACTTTTTTTAATCAAACAAGAAAACAAACTTGCCCAAATCCAAAATCATTGGAACATACACTAACGTTTGTTCAAGTGTTACACCTTTATCGTAATAATATGAAAATATTGTCTGACATTAGCAATACCCAACATCTTTTGCCTCTCTACATGTTATATTTCTCAACGTTCGTCCCTTTGGTGGCCTTAAACTTCCGAATCACTTAACTTTCGAATTTGAAAAAATTAAATGTGGTTCGGAATCATTAAAAGGGTGCACAGTTATATTGAGGGGTCTGAAGACACTAGTTTAATTTTCAGCTTTTCATTAGTTTCGTTTAGATCTAATCTTGGGAAAGTTCGTTTTCTAAGACGCCATTGCAAGTGAGGCTTCCGTTCTCAAGGAGTGCGCACTGTTTCCACACCTTTGAAATTCTGGAGTGTACAACCACGAAAGCGGAATAGAGAATCAATCTATACATCTATTATATATTAAGCAACTTGGAAACACAATGTGTCACTTTTCCCATAAACTGCGACAGCTACAGAGTTGAAAGTTGGCAAGTACTTGCAAAAAGATAGATAGGTCCCCATGACGGAACCCGATTTTTGATTTATTAATTTCCTGAGTTAAAAAAAATATGTTTGACAAAAAGTTCCCGTCCTTCTTTGGCCTTTGTGATTATTCCACTGAGAAACGAAACACATCTGAGTTGCTGTCCTTCACAGTGGAAGTGCCAGAAGTGATATTTCGCGAGGCGCATTTTTGCTTCAAGAGTAGAGATCTAGACCTTCTAATTTTTTGCATCTCTCAAGATTTATTGCTCCATTCCAGTAAAGTGTAAATATTGTAGGCCAATGACTTTCTGCTGATGTTAATGCACTGATCATTCTTTTAATCGAAAGGGGGCCCAGTTAGTTTGTAAAAATTGATAACATTTAAATGGCAATAACGTATATTGTGAACTTTATCATCGTGCTACTAACTAACTGCTTACAATGTCCATGAAATCTGAGCTTTTATTAATGATTTTACCTTCATACTCATCTGCTATATATTTTCATATACATACTCACACACACATACACAAATACACAAACATAAACACACACACATGTGATACTATATATATCTATATATATATTATAATA